AAAGTTGCGCACGTGAGGGCTCGTGACTCCTACTCAGAACTGTTCTCAAGTCTTAAACCATTTTTAATAAACCAAACCAGATCGACCTCGGGTTTGGTCTCTGAACTATTTTGTCCTTTATAATGGAGTGAGAGTGTTATCACGTGACCTACGCGCTACACGCGCCTTTACACTTGTAAACACTACATCATTATTCTATACAACTAATTTCGTTTGTTTTTTTCTAGTTATGCTCTTGGAAAATAAATAAAAATAATACTTACGTGTCTTTGTTATAGAACATTGCCTATGCAAAATAAAGAACAGAATCCAAACACTAAAAGAACAAAAAAAAATGAATTTTTAAAATGTATAAGCTGAGATTTGTTGAAGATTTGGGTCCCTTAATAATCTAAAGACTGAATCAGAGTATTAAAAATGGGACTATTTACTTTTTTCAGTAAAGAGTTTTGTTAATATTCCTTCTGCAGAGTTCTTAATTTTTGTATTCTCAGAGTATCGGATCCATAAAAAAAAAAAAAAAAGCAGAATTTAAAAGGTAAATTATGCAGGGGTCAGAAGATAATTAAAAAAATAATATGAAAAAGTTGAAAAATCAATTAAGGTGAGTTGAAATGACATGATGTCAAAACTCTCGTCTCACGTGAGTGTGTGACTGTGTTTATATATATACAATTCAAAGCCCACTGTGTCTCACCATTATGTTATTTTAATTGTCTAACTAAACAAATCACTTGATCACAAACTATAGTAGTATTTGAGAAAGGGATAATAACATTAAAAAAAATACCAGACTAGTAAAAAAAACATTAAGGATCCGTAATGCCCGGTAATTTTTTTAATTATAAATTAATATTCGATTTTGCTAACAGTTTTTTTTTTTATAAAAGCTTAATTATTATTAATATGAAAGGTTAATATTTGTTTTTAAGAATAAAAAAAAATTAGAGTACGTACTATAGGTGCCGAGGTACAAGTACTTGTTTCCAAACACTCTTCCAATCCGAGCCTCCCATCTTCCGTTATGGTGATGCCTGTTTTTATTCCCAACAAATTTCTAAATTATAACAATAAACGATTTTGCAGGTAAAATGTATTTAAGCAAAAAGTTAAATCATAATTAACAAAAAAATAT